AGCCTGCCCCGCGCAGCTCCATCCTGTGCCCTGCCCTGGCTGGACAGTGCCTGCCCCAGCTCCAGCCCCACTCTCTCCAGGGGCCTTGATCTTCACCCCCTCGCACCTCTTTCCTTCCTCCTCCCCTTCTACCACAACAGCTCTTCAAGCTGCCAGGCTGTGTATTGTAAATTGTATTGGTATTGGCCAATATGCCTCCTTAAAAATTGGCTAAAAACACCTGAGGCATCAGGCAGGGAGGGTGAACTTGCCCTCCACCACTGCTGCTACCACTACTGTCTCAGGCTGAGCCCAGCTGAGGCCAGACAGGAGCAGGCAGGGGAGGGAGGTCCTGGGAGGCGAGGGGATATGCCTCTGAGCATGGAGGGGGAAGGCAGGGTGGAATTCTTACTTCTTCAGGCTCTTAAGTCCCTGGTTGCTGCTCCTGGTGTATGGTCAGACAAAGGATGCTATGGCACCCCTTCTGGATCCACCCCTGGTTACATGGGTGACCAAACAATGTACAGCTTTCAGGAAGTATAAAGATGCTCCTGAAGGAATAGAAATGGTTAAATAAAGCTTTCTTTTCTTCTGTCCATTTTCTGTTTCTGATTTCCTTCGGTTCTGAGAACAAAATAATAAACAAGAAGTTGTTTAACAACAAATATATTATTTGACTTGACATGTTGCATGCAGCTCCTTGGCTTTGGGATATGTTCATCTCAAGTTCTGTGTCCTGTGATTCCTGGCTGCCTCAAGATTTTGGTTTGCAGCCAGACTGGTTAGAACAGGGGTTGTCAAACAGGGGTATGCATATCCCTAGGGGTACTTGGGAAGGCCCTAGGGCGGGTGGGTGGGGATGGAGCGCTGCCACCTACCACCCTACACTGCTGCCTCCCAGGAGCAGGGCTGGGGTGGAGTGAAGGCAGCCCTGCACCCCTGCCAGCCACACAATGATGGGATGCAGCCTACCCTCACCCTATGGACAGATCTGGGGGTGGGGGGGGCCACGTACCCCAACATAAGCTCCCTGGATGAGCTGCCTGCAGCTCCATCATACTCCCAGCAACCCTGGGTGGGCAGTGCCTGCCCCTGGCCCATTCCTGTCCCCTCTCCCTACAGCTCTGTCCCGCTCAGTCACCACCCTGGCTAGGCAGTGCCTACCTCTGCCCCACTCCCTCCCTCACAGTGGGGACCTCGATCTGTCCTCCCCCATTGCCCCTTCCCTACCCCCCCAAGCCCCACAGACTTACCAGTCGGACACTGCTCTTCAAGCTGCCAGGCTGGATTCCTGACTGCATGCATGCTGTGGCTGCGCACATGCAGACAGCATTTAATGCAACAAAAATATCAAAACGCTAAAGTAAATTACTTGTTTGTGAGTTGATCATGTTTCATGTAGGTTTGACATAATTGAGTCCCCTGTGTATTTTCCAATATTGCAGTCTTGTAGTTGGCCAAAAGCTTACCTACTTGGCATAAGAGTGCTTCAGAACCTTGACCATTCCTCTAAACTCCCAAAGCCAGTGTCTTGTTTCCATGGTGTTATAGGGAGAATCTCAGCAGAGAATAGTAGATTGAGTACTGTTTGCACCTGTACAGAGCCTGAGCCACTAATGTTGAGGCTGATCAGTGAGGTTTATCTCCGTTATGGATTCCATGATTCTGTAGCTGCATAATCTGACACAAGTTGTTTTACAATTTACCATTTTGCTACAACCATTGCTGTCTGTTGTCCTGCTTGGCTCTGCCTGCAGCTGTCTCTTATGGCAACTCCTCTGTGGTCTGGGCTAGATGCCCAGTTCATTTAGTCATTATCCCATCTCTCAGTGCCAGCACTACGTATTTTTGAGGAAGGCATCAGAAACCCCACCAGTAAGCAAATGGGGAGGTGGGGAGATAATCTGTCCCATAAGAAGGTCTCATGCTACTCCATCATTAGATTAATTTAAGAACCTCAAGCTTCAAAGTTTATGTTCCTCTGAGAACTTTTTTTTTTTTTTTTTTTTTTTTTTTTTTACATTAACAGAATATTGAGAATTTAGTAGTTAAGCATATAAACATCTTGTACACCTGTAAAGCTTTCCCCACGATGGAGATTTAGTTCAACTGGTGCAAGACCTGCTGTTCTTCATGGGGTCGGGTATTAGGCTTGAGGCAAAAGCTGGAGCTAGCCCACAGACAAGGAACAAAAAAAACCCCATTGAGTCAGAAATGTAGACTGATGAAGTAGTCCACCTAGAGACCAGTATAGGGTGGATAAGACCCTGAACCTAATTAACATGTCTCGCTGCTCAGGTGTGACTGATTTGATATTCAAGAAATTAAGAGAGTTCATAGCTTTTAGTCCTTTTCTTACTAGAAGTGAGATGATTTCTAAGGTTTGCCAAATAAGAAGGAAAATTCTCTCATTGTGCACTTTGATATTTTATCTTCTTCACCATGGCATCCAAGTGCTGAATTTGATTCTAATATTTCACAAAAACCAATATAGGTGCCTTGGAAGGACTAAGCCCAATTGTTGTGGAGAGTTTGTAGAATAAATAAATGGGGTGCTGGACACGCGACTGAGGTCATGGAACTCAGGGGAGTGATAAGTCAGTGAACTACTGGCCGTCGCTTTGACTTCCAGAAGTTGCAGTACAAATCAGGTGTAAATACTGAAGAGATTTTGAGCTTAGTTCCCACTGAGTCACAGCGTTACTAACATGACAGCTGCAAGGTGGCAGCAGCCATTTCAATCTATACACTCTATATTTGGCATAAAATAAGCGTGCCTGCCAGTAGATTGCCACTGTTGATATGTCTGTCAAACTAATTGTAGCCATGGCAACGTAAAAGTCTAGTGTTTGATCCATTTAAGATGCAGTAGGTCCTAAGCAGGTTGTCAGATGCGACTTGCATTCTCTTATACTAACAGCATTATTTCTGTGCTCTGTGGAAATAGCGCCATATTAATAAAATTGTTACAAGATCAGTATCTTCCAGAAATATTGGGAGTCTTCCTCTACCTTTATGTAAAAGTGGATGACCGTTATCTTATGACTCTGTTTTGTTATCTAGAAGTTACCTATCAATTAAAATAAGATTTTCACACCAGTGTTAGGACTTAACTTGAGACTTATTTATGCGTGCCTTTTTTATTTAAAAACTGTAGCTTGAAAGGCCAATGTTTACAATTTCGGTAATATTTTTATAATACTTTTAGCTAGAATCAAAATTGATCGTCACTACTTCTGTAAATTCTAGTTAGCAATTGACAAAACCCTAAATGCAGTATTGTTTGGAGTCTTTGGACATACAAAGCACCCACAGAGAGATGATTACACCGTAAATGTTAGTTAACTTGCCTGTGGAAAAATTCATCACTATTGTTTAAATTGCTCCTATTCTGATTCTCTAATATCATCCTGTCCCCAATTATCAACTCCTAATACATCTACATGTGCAATTAGTATGTAGTAATAAACTCTGGTGCAGTTCACACCATAGTTTATTGCTCCCAGGCACAGCATTTATACATGTACCTGGGACCGTGTCACACTGAACTAGGGTGGAGCAGCCCCAGCTGGCAGAGGGCCTGGGAGGTCTCACAGCCCAGGGCTGCTACACCCCAGCTCAGTGTGCTGTGGAGTGGCCTGCTGGGGCACGATGGTGCTGCAGTGCAGGGCTAGCTGGCAGGAATCCCCTGCACTGTAGCACCCTTGTGCCCAAGCCAGCCTCGGTCACTGTCTACACATGCGTTTCAGTGCACGTAACTAGTCCGCTGTAGGATAATACTTGTCCTGGACTGTATTATTCTACAGCGAAGCTAGTTAATTTACTGCATCCTAATATGGGCATACATGTAGATGGTGACACTTTTTACTGCAGCGCTAATTAGTCATCTACACAGTAAATTGTACATGTAGATGCACCATCAGTACTGGATAATTTGCCATTATTTGCATTCCTCTTGGAGTGGCAAATCAGTCAGAATTTACTTTGTTAGTATGAAGTGTTAGAATTCTAAAATTCCATTAAACTGGCTTAACTAACCTGACTAAAAGGCAGGTTTGGTATCTGTTAGTTTTCCTTTCTTTCAGACTTTTTTCTTAAATGATGCATGCTTAGCCATGTGTTCTTTGTTGTTGTCTGTGGGTGGGGTTTTTTTTATTATTAAAGAGAGGTGAGGCTACATAGGTGAGCTCTCCAGCCAGGGGACACTAAAAGGCTGCTGCTTAGATCACCAGAGTCCTTAGGGTTGCTTACTGATTAATAGCCTGCTCTTTCCCAGCTTGGGAAGGGAACAAGCTGTCAATAAGTAGTTTTACAGTGGGGTGCACAGGAAAGTAGAGCCAAGAGCTTCCATCCTTGGTTTTAAATGGCTACCAATGCAGCCAGCTGGGCTGTTGAACTGGGCTGCATAGACTGTGACTTTTAAAAGTTGGTGGAGGTAAGGCTCTAGGCTTGGGGAGGCCCCACTTTCCCATACCCCAGCTTTAAATCATTGCCTCTGCAGTCCAGCTTCTGGAACCCCAGTTCTGCCTTCCCCCAGCCATGCTGCAGTGTGGCTGCCACCTCCCCCACCTTCCTCCTGTTCAAACTGGCAGAGTGTGGGGGGTAGGGGAGAGGCCATTCTCCCTAGTGACAATTGCCCTGGGGCTCTGGGATGGTTCCCACTGCAGGAGAACACCCCTTCTTCTGCCAGTCAGGAATATTTCTAGACAATAAATCCCTTGAATAGCTCTATGCTCTCATTTTGTGCCAGGAAAATGTCTTTTCTACCAGCACAAATGTAATGCTTGTCTGTGGCCTTTCTGTGATTTACTTCTAATGACTGTTCCCCTTAGCAAAAGTCATATTGCTTGGTAGTGCTTAAACATTATTCTCCAAGACAGTGTCCTACTGTACACACATTTTTTGTTTGTTTCTCTAAATACTAATATAGATGCATTGGGTCTGTTAAAATGGTATTTAATTTTCATATTTTAAAGCCTTGTCTCTCAAGTCACTACTTATTGCAGATATTAATCATTTTAAAAATTCTGACTTCTTGCCTTTTGGCTAAAAAAAAAAAAAAAGTCTCTTCGTTCATGGGTAATATAATGTATATTCTTACAAAAGCAGCTGATATATTGCTGTTTGTGTAAGAAGTAAGTTATTAATCTTGTACTAAGACACCTGGGATTTTAATTTTGGTCTCATACCTTAAGAGAAATCTATTACATTAAAATTACAGGTGATATTTTTGTGTGCGCTGTGTACTGCTAGTTCTTTACATCTATGCAGTGGTGTTTTTTAAAAGCTGACTTGTATATCAGTGATTTTCAACCCTATCTGATTTGGCACCCCTCCATAACTTTTGTAATTGAGCAGTACCCCATTTCCAAGACTGACTTATTTATTACAGTCCTAACCTCTTTGCAGAGGGGCTGGGCAGTGGGGGCAGGACAGTGACCAGGGAGGTCTCTGAGCCTGCTCTTATCCTCACACCACCCTTTGAAAGATTTCATGGCACCCCAGGGTGCCCCAACACCCTGGTTGAGAATTAGTATTCTATATGAACAGCAAAACCCACTGATGGCAACCTGGGGCAAATATAAACACTATTTGTGCAACAAATCATTCAGATATGAGTTGCTTTGAACTGCTTATGTTCCTGGATACTATAGATAGAAGCAGTAGAGAAAGAGGGACTAGGTTGTTTTACAAGGCCTGAGTGCTACTATATACCAAGTCTTTTGAGGTACCTGTAGAAGTAAAACATTTTTAAAATCAATCAATTTAACAGTGAAAATATAGATTATAAGACTATAGAAATATGATCACTAGTTCAGGTCCTGGTCATTACTCCTTTGGTAGAACTTGTTGCTTCCAGGTTGTAGCTGGCAGTAGCTGGAAATAATAGCCGTTTCAACTAGTTTAATCCTAGAATATGTGGGTGAAAAGGATGGCTTGGTGAACAAGACTTCTAATCACTGATTTAACATTTCTGGCATATTAAAGTTTATTTCTTTTTTCTGATTTTGAATCTTGTTTTTTAAAGGGAGTAACCCAAATTGACAATGACCTGAAAGCAAGAGCTTCAGCGTACAATAATCTGAAAGGCAACCTTCAGAACTTGGAAAGAAAGAATGCGTAAGCCATTAAGTTAAGCATAACTTAATTTAGTTATGCTACTAGTTGCATGATACTGTGATCAGAATATTTGTTTCATTAAAACTGAAGTACCTCTTTTTTCAAGGAAGTTTCTGCTTTATTGTGTGATGAAGTAATTAATATGATATGTTCCTGAGGTTTGAGAAGTTGTTGCATCCTTCTTCCCCCACTCCAAGCCCAAGCAAATCAAATGAGTTAAGCAAGGCATAAAACAGTGTTTCCCAAACTTTTAATACCTGAGGGACACTGTCTTTTTCTGGTTTAAAAATGGTGGCACACTTCACTCCTTTACCCAACAAGGTGTGTGTGTATATGTATAATTCATATTTTTCTTTCAAAACATATATTTCATTCCTCTGCCAGAGAAAATCATACTATTGCTGAGATGTATTATTAAAAAAAAAAAGACATAAAATACATCTTTCTTTAAGCTAAGGTTTAGTCTCCGTACCAGTGGTTCTCAACCTTTTCAGCCTTAAGTTGCCCCTTCGTACTTTTTCTGAACTTCGTAGTACCCCAGCTAAAAATCACTGAGATTGTAGATCTAAATTCAGAAAAAGATATCGAGGGGGAGGTCCTTGAGGTTAAAAAAAAATAAAATTAAAATTGAGAATTGCTGATCTAGCTGGTGCCACTTAAGGGTAGTGGGGACAGGTGTGTTCTGCTCTTTCCAATGTCTACCTCCCCTTGATCCCTAGTTCTGTACCTCATGGGGAAGAGTAGGCCCTACTGCTGAGGCTGCTCCTGCAGAGTCTCACAAATAGGTGACCATCTCCATGGCCCCTCTTGCCAGCCTCAGGAGTGTGGAGAAGTGGAGGGGGATGAACTAGGCTGCAAAGCCTGGCTCTGCTTGCATGTCTACTTGCCCACTTGCTTGCAGCAGAGTGCAGAGCTGGGAGCTTGGGTGTGGGGCTAGCATAGGGGTGGTGGAGAAAGGCAGCAATAATGGCAGCAGTTTCCAAGGGAGTATGCAGGTGCTGTTGGAGTAGCTGGGGCAGGCACAGGGTGCATTTACCTCCTCACCCAAGTATATTGCAGCATGCCATTTGGGAGTCACTGGCATAAACAGCTATTTGGATGGGTGGGGATAAAAACTCTTAATGCCAACAAGGACATACTTACTTTAAGCAAAGGTAACATTCTTCCCTTTCCCTTGAGGCTGATGCAACCCTTCCTTCAGAGTGCTTGGGAATGTAGGCCTATAGCTGTGGTTCATAGATCTGCATATAAGACTAAAGGCAGAAGCTACTTGGATAATTAGGCTCCAAAGTCTCATTGGCAATCAAGAAAATGTTAAAATTATAATTGCTGCATGGCTTTGTAGAGTTAGAAGACAATGTAGGACCCTACACATGTAGGCTGTACATAGACATTCTAAGGTCTCCTCTACACATGCAGGTAAAAATATGATAGAATCTAGTGCACAGTTCCACACAGTTGCATACATGCATGGCAAGAGGCATGATTGTGGGATCATACATTGGATCCCATCACATCTTGTTGCCAGCCCCAGGTTCCCCCTGCACTGGCAAGAAGCAAGCCCTGGTGGCTAGCAGCCCCTTCATCTGAAGGGCCTCCCAGCTATAGGAGCACACTATGCTTCGCGTAGTTGGGAGATTGTAGTGGCTGGGGGCTCCCCGCCCTGGGGGGGGGCGGTGGCCCCCCAGCCATGGGGGCAAGCCATGCACCCCCTTGCCTGGGAGACTGCAGTCACACCTCATAGCTGTTAGGAACCAGAGTCCCGCGGCTAACAGGCACTGTGAGGGCTGAGTGTCCCCCTGTGCCTGCAGGACTACCAGCCGTGGCTGGGCATGGTGCATCCCTGCAGCTGGGAGCCCGGTCAGCTGATAGACCTTATTACACATGCAAATCAAAGCTACATAGCAACCAGCTATAAAGTTAGCATGCTTTTTGAAGGTCTAACTTTATAGCCGGTTAGACCTCTTTATGGTGTGATAGGTTCTTTCCATATGCAGCTGTTCTCAGTTTAATTGTGGAATAGCTGTAATATGTAGAGAAGGTCTAAGTCATACAAGTAGTCATACAGGCTACATTAGCCTGAGACAAAATAATTGTGAAATTTCCACACAGTACTGTGGTAAGAATAGGCAGGACCCCATGCATGGTACCTGGATCCATACAAAGTTGTAAGATTGTAAAGCATTATTAAACAGTGACTTCAGCCTGCAATGTACAGTTGCTTCTGTGGAGAATATTCAATAGCACTAGAGGTCTTTTACAAGAGTCTATAGTATGGGGTGAGCATCTCTTTCAGTGCATCTCTCTACCCACACACCCACACCCACCCACACTCCCATTTTTAACCTCTCTTCCCTAAATCGTTTTTGAACCCTAGTCACCAAGGTGCTTTTGAAAATTATCCCCTTCATCCCAACACAGACTGAGCAGGATCTTCAGCTAATAGCATTGACAATAAAGATGCTGATAAGATGTCTTATAAACAATGTGCATGTTAAAACTATAGTTACAGAAAGGAATAAGTGTGTTCTGCATAATTGCCACTTGTTTTAGAAAAAAAAACCCTAAAGAACGCATTACCCAAGCCCTAAAATTTATCAGGGCTGCGTTTAAGATTTAAACTGTGCACTTATAATGGCTGCCTTTTGTTTCCTTACAGAGGAAGCTTACTAACTAGAAGTCTAGCTGACATTGTGAAGAAAGAGGACTTCGTACTTGATTCAGAATACTTGATCACATTGTTAGTGGTTGTACCCAAGTAAGTCATTTTTTTGTAACCAAGTATTGCAGAACTTTACTTGTTTTATTTAATGTATAAATCTGGTGACAGGAAAGGTGTTGTGAATGCTCTTTGCCAATTCTGTGCGTGTGATTCATTCAATTTCTACCTTGAATTACATAGCAGCATTAAAATTGAGTTCTAACTTGTTTTGTGTAGGTTAAATTACAGTGACTGGGTTAAGCAATATGAAACACTAACGGACATGATAGTCCCAAGATCCAGCAAGTAAGTAGCTTTTTTTATGACTTGTTTAATCTAACCTCTGCAGATATTCTTGCACATTCTAGAAGCATAGCTTTGAGTTGGAACGGTGGCATAAATCAGCCATTTGCCTGACAGTTTACATGGCGGGTGCAAAAAGCCGAAGTCACTGGTGCTTGCTTGGAGACATTTTAATGCTTATGCTACTAGAAGGTTAATTCCTAAAGTTGCATTGTATTGGGATGTTCACTGAGCTCCTTTTAGAGCAGTGGTATTCAAACTGTGTTCCACTGAACCCTGGGGTTCTGCAGTACTGTCAGGGGTTCCATGAAGAGATTGCGGGTAATGGTGGAGCAGGCTCGGAGGCAGTGTGCTGCCACTGCTTCAATTTTTAGGATACAGCTAGAGATTCCATGGCAGAAGAAGTAATGTTGAAGTGTTTTGTGACTTCAGGAAGTTTGAAAACCACTGCTTTAGCATGCTCTTCGCTGGCACAGGTAAGACTGTATTCCTAGTCCACTGATCTCTCTGCAACTCCTGTGCTTCAGCATTTATTTCCTTTCACCGGCAATATAAATGAGGATGCTAAAAGCCACATTTGTTTCACACATTAAAGTTAAACGCTGGTTTACTATCCAAGAACACATACAGTTTTAAACTGCAGAATATTAGGTTTACTCAAGAAAGCATTTGTTGAATATGTGAACTGCAAACAGATCATTTATTGATAAAAGATGATGAAAGTGCTTCTAAAATTGTTAAGCTAAGACGTGTGGCTACAGAACAACACTGTTGCACCTATTAATAGACAGTGAACTTGATCTTGTTAGTTAAGTAACCACAGATGAAAATTTTGACTACAGTACTTCAGAGAGATAATGGTCCAAACCTGTGACTGCTTAACACTTCTTCCTCTCCTCCCCCACTTTATCCAGTGTTTTGTTTGAGGACCAAGATAGCTACCTCTGCAGTGTCACCTTGTTCAAGAAGGCAATGGATGAATTTAAACACAAAGCAAGGGAAAGCAAGTAAGAGTTTGGGTTTTTTTCTCTAGCTTGCTTTTGTATTTTAAAAGCCATCTAGACAGCTGCTGGAAATTTTTACTCTTCAAATGTAGGTTTATGGTTCGTGATTTCCAGTATAATGAAGAAGAGATGAAAGCAGACAAAGAAGAAATGAACAGGCTGTCTACTGACAAGAAAAAACAGTTTGTAAGTTTACATACACTAAATATTTTCCTTTGGAATGGCTAGAACTGAGCATTTAAGCACCAAGGGTAAGTACAGACATTGGGGAGGTTAAATTGGGTTCAAAATGGCCTCCTGATTTAAACTTTGCTAGTCCAGTGCTAACCTTATTCTCACAGACCTGGTCTCAGTGACCAGCAGTCAGTCTAAACCTGTAACTACAAAAGTTCCATGCACCCCAACCAGTCTAAAAATTGCAGAACATGGTTTCAGATAAACCTGGATCTATGTAGTATCAGACTTAATCGATTTAAGTCAGACCAGTGCATGGAACTTCTGTCCACTTGCCCCAGTCCCAGGGCTGCTCTTTTCACTTCCCCCACACTGATTTATTTTTTGCCCACCTCTTGTTCTTCTGGCCCCTGACCAGCCAACCCTCTTAACCCCCATGCCACAAGCCGCTCTGGCTACATCCACTTCTATCAGCGTCCACTGCTGCCAGAGCTGAGCAAGTAACCCCTGGTGGGGGGAAGGGCAGGATGGATGGGGCTGTAGGTTCACTGCGAGCAACCCCGCCCTGCCTACAGGTCGTGCCTTCCTGGCGGACACCTGATTCCCTTCCAGGTTGCTGGACACCGCCCCCCCCACCTCAGCCCCCTGGCTATCCCCCCATCCCGCCTTACCTGTCATTGGGCAGCCATTTCGAATAGATTTAACCTCCCCCTATAGCCCCCAAATGTCTGTACTTAGCCAGATAGGTCACTACCGGGTTCCTCTTCAGACAAGGAAGCAAAACAGGAAGATTCACAGAGTTAACAGTAGCCTAATTTTGATTTTCAACATAGTCAATAACAATTGTTGAAAGCAAGGATCTACTTTAATTACCTGTAAACTGTTAAATGTGTTGAAGTTGAATAAAATAAGCAAAATGATATGTCAGATGAAAAGGACTCTAATAGCTGTTTCTCTACTCATCCAAGAAGTATAGTGAATTAGGGCTGTTAAGTGAAGTTAGTTGCTGTAATTTTTTTTGTCAAAACAAGTGCTAGAGAGTGGGGGGGTTGGGGAAGTGTATGGGATGCTGATGGTGCCCCCTCTAATTTGGCATGAGGCTCCTGCTCCATTCTCCTTTGCCTAGTTATGCTGCTTACTGGGCCTGATTCGTAGCTGTATTTAAGACAGGAGGGTGGAGAAGATGTGAAGATGGGTCCTGTGCCCCGCGGTGTGTGTTGGTTTTTGAAGCTCCTCTGTGGTGGGCCAGTCTGAACTGTGGCTACTTCCAGCAAACCAAGGGAACCATCCTAGTAGTTAGAGGTTATTGGAGGACCACAATTCTGTTACCATCTCAACTACACCAACAGCTAGAAGGAAAACAACAGAAGCTACTCTGGCTGATCTCCATCTACCCAGGGATCTCCCATGCAAAGAGAATCACCTTTAAAGGTGCAGTTGGTTTAGTGTAGGGCTGCTTCATTCAAGGGGAGCAAAACGAAGTAGATGAGGGGTGACTGAGGATTGGTGCTATAATTTTCAGTGTTAAGTGATTTTTCTGTGGACTGACAACACAGAGTAAGCTTGAATTTCTTTTTAGATGCTTTGTATTCTTGGTCATGTGCAGTCATGGTGAATGTAGCTGCTTTGCATACAAAATGTGAGGTTATCTAGATTTACAACTGCTGAAAAGTTGCACTAGAAAGTTTATATCAGTGCAAATAGTCATCATTGTCTTGAAATTAGAACTGATCAAATAATCATGAGGAACTTGTTTGACTTTTTTTTTCAGTTCACTGGCAAGTTGTTTAAACACCTAATGCAAATCAGAACAGTATCTTCTTAAATTTAATAAAGCTGAATCTCTCTTCTTGAATGCTTATGAGTAACTGCCTTTTTCTTCTCATTCCTTCCCCCTGCAGGGGCCTCTAGTTCGGTGGCTAAAAGTGAATTTCAGTGAAGCCTTTATTGCATGGATTCATGTGAAAGCATTAAGAGTTTTTGTTGAATCTGTTTTAAGGTAAAGAAACCTGCAGTTCTGCCAAGATTTTGTACATCTAGATGCAGCACGTAGGCAGTGGAGCATTTTACTCTGTATACTTGTGATTTATCTCATTCTGCAGCAGCTGTGGATATTCTCTTTCTCCAGTGCTTTAAGAATTGTGGGTTTCTCATATACTGTATCTAGGGTACCTAGCTGACTCTTGCTGGCTTGCAAAAGAGAGATTCTTATATGCAGGGGTATCAAACTTATGGCCTACAGGCGGGATCCAGCACACAGATCACTGGACTGACTCCATACACTGGCTCTGGCCCCACATGCTGCGTGTAGTATGTGAGCTGGACCCAGCATCAAGCACCCTACATGTAACATGAGTCAGCCTGAGGTATGCAGTGCCTCATTGAACTGGTCTTGTGCGTTGGCCCTGGGGCCAGTTCAGATTGGGCCATGCTGAAACCAATGTGAAGGGCTAGTCTGGTGGGGTGTGGCATGCAGCACATGCTGTGTGTTTGGCCTTCTGTTCTGTGAACAGCACATGCAGCTAGTTTAGCCTTGCGCACTGTGCACAGCATGCATTGGCCCAGGGACTAGTGATGCACACAGTGGTATGTATAGCATGCAGTGCATGCACTGCCTGCAGCTGGATGCAGCAGCACCCCACAGTATGGGATATGGGTACAGACTACATGTGGCACTCCCGGACTGCCCCCTGTGTTGCCTGCAGCACTGGGTCCAGCCCACACACCGTAGACTGCACATGCACCATGTGCTGTGTGCACAGCAAGCCCTGGGGCTGATGCAGGCTCCATGCAATGCACAGTTTGGACCTGGTGCCACAGATGTTGCACAGGGGGTTCAGCCCTGGTCTGGCCCAACAACTATCATTCAGCGCACAGGGCCAGATGAGTTTGACATTCCTCCTTCCATGCAAAGAGTAAAAATGATATTTTATTTTTTAAGGTAGAAGGAAAGTAATGTTTGTGTTGAACTTGGCTTATTTGGTAGTAAAACTGTTTCAACTTTGGGAGGTGCAATCCAAGACACTTTGAACCTGCTCCAGTAGAACTTTTCTTTATTGGTGTAGGGGTGGACCAATTAAGATTTTCTTGGCCAATAGCAATAGCCAACGATTAACCAACCATATCAGCTGATGCTGATCCGATAACTGATGTCTAGTAATAAGGCAAGGCATTTTAAACTACTGACACAAACCTTTTTTTGTTTGTTTTGCATTTATCTCACAGACACGCACATGCCTGCCTCCTGCCTGCTCCTGCCTTCGATGAGAAAGGCGGTGACTGCCTTATTCCCATGCACATTGCCCCTTCACCTATGGCTCCTACCTGTAATCTCGCTCCCCATGCAGCCCATGCTACTGTCCTGGGCAGGCAGGTTGGATCCTTGTGCAGGGAACAACGCCAGGCACGTTTGGAACCCCAGAGCACACCACTGCCTCAGTGCTGGGAGGTTCTGTGCAGCAAAGCTCCCGTGGCTGCCAGTGACCCAAGCAAGCCCCTTTTGCAAAGGCACCCATTGCCCAGCTGAGCAGAATGTCCTTGCACAGTACCTTACCTACCCTGCCTGTGCACAGCCCAGTGTCTCTGCAGCAGCCTCTTACCCTGCTGCACATGTGATGTTGCCATGGCAGGGACAGCAGCAGCAGCTATTGCCCCTTGGTTGCCGAGTGCAGTGCCCTGTGACAACTCCCCAGCGCCCCCTCCCTCTTCTCACCAGAACCTGTAGTCTGGTGTGATTTTAGGCTGGCGGCTAGGCATGGGGATTGGACTATGCTCGCCAGGGTACTCCGGGCATGTGGCTGTGATTATCAGCTAGAACAACCAAGAAGTCAGTAGCCGATAACATTATTTCTCCTTTTATCAGTGTTGATCAAATAGCCGATATATCGGTGCACACCTACTTCACAGCATTTCTCTATTTTTTAATTTTCCCCTTCCAAGTGGCTGCCATTTCTCCTTGTATCATGCTTTCCTTTTAATCAGAAGGAAGTAAAAAATAGGGGTTTTTTTTGGTTTTTTTTAATTCTGCAAAGAAGCTGGAATGCTTTGTAATATACTGTAGAAACATTTTGATTTGCAGTGGGAATCTTCTGACTGACCACTTTATTCCAGAAACGTTTTTTTAGGTGTCTTAGTACTGTTTTTACTGCAAAATGAGTCCAGAATCAGAAAATAATGTGATCTTTGTCACAGCTGCTGCGGACTTCTTATTTTAGGCCTAGTCTACACCGTAGGCTTGACTGACACAACTCCAGTGCCTGCATACTGAAAGTCTGTCTGGGATGGTGAAACTCTCCACTCTGCCAGCAAAGTTATTCCACCTCTGCAGAAAGGAGGAAAGTTTCTGCTGTTGCAGGGCATTTCGCTGAAGGCATATGAAGACCCCTATCCAGTTTCCAGTCAGCTGCCATGGTCCATTGTAATGTCTTCCCAGAGTGTCCTCTGAACTCTGAGCAAAACTGCTATAATGTGCTTACATGTGCAGCTTCTTGCTGCCAGACCAGTAAGTGTAGCCATTGAATTGGAAGACTAGCTGGCATGACCAGTGAGAGGCGACTTAGGTGAAAAATGTGCTTGGAAGGACAAAAAAAGTAGAAGCAATTTCATCTTCTTAAGATTAAAAGTGAATGGGTGCTTTATGGTAAGGAACTAGAAGCTCCTAGCAATGAGTGTCTCCAGCAAGAGGGCAGTTGGAACGCACCTTCCGTATTAAGATTGAATTGACTGTTATGCCAGTTTAAAGTCTAATTGTGCCTCATGGCTTTTTTTTCTTCTGCTTGCTCTCTCAGGTATGGTTTACCAGTTAACTTCCAGGCAATGCTCCTTCAACCCAATAAGAAAACGATGAAGAAACTGAGAGAGGTGTTGTATGACTTGTATAAACACCTTGATAGCAGTGCAGCAGCAATCATTGATGTAAGTGTTTCTGTAACTGGTGCTTACGGTGTTCATCTGCCCCACTCACATTTAATCTAATGTTACTTAAACTTTTTTTATTTAAACCAAGGGAGGACAGTAATTGTCACAGGATACATGTTTAATCCTCTAGAATGTCCCTAAGGAAATGGAGATTTCTAGGCTTTTTTGACTACTGCCTAACATGAAATAGGATCCAGAGGCTTCCTCGGAGTAGTAATAAAAGGATGTTGCAAGAGCTAGATTCTTAAACTCTCCTGCTCTCCTTTGCTCTCCTTCAGGGAAGAGAACTATTTAGTCATATACAGCATTAATGCAGAGCAGGACTGTCTACCTAAGCACCTGAACACCCCAGAGGCGGCACACCCATGGGCTGCATCAGTGAGAACCATGGGATTGCCCTGGGCTGCGTGCATACCTCCCTTCCATCTTGCTAGTATGAGTCCTGTCATCAGCCCCCCCACCCCCGCTTTTGCTGCACCATGTAAGAAGGCCCCCTACACCAGTGTAGAAAATGCTTGCTTTTCCATCCCTGGTGTACTTCACATCTGCTTCCCCCCCCCGGCATTGTACTGCACAACCCCATGGCCCTGAGCTCACTTTTAGCTCTACTGGGCATGCCCTACTGCACTGCCCCATCCCATGGAGCAAGCGGCAAAAGCTGGAGGACAGAGGGGGAGCCTGGAGACTCCAGCTGGAACAGAGCCCAGGGGCCACAACTTAACCCTGCACAAGTCACATGTGGCCTACAGGCCACCAGTTGGACAGCCATGGTACAAAGGAATTCTTCAGGCACTTTGACTAGGTTTTTGCAAAGGAGGACATCAACTGAGGAGCTCTCGCTCAATACCTGGGGGGTGCTGTGGGCCCAATACACTTCATACAGTTTGTGAAGCAACTGCTCAGGGCTATTACAGAATGACACAGTAGGAAGCAGTTGCAGAAATGTGCCAAATCCAGCAGGTCAGTGGAAGGGTGCCTTAGCCTAATTTTAAGCTAAAATTTTCTAGTTGTTTATTTTGCACTTTTTGAGCAAAAAAAGATGATACAGGATTTGCTATCTCTGAGGGATTGCTTTTTGATAAAAACAAAACAAAAAACCCCTTCTGCAATTATGGGTGGGATGGATGTGTTTATAATTACCCTTCTACTGCCTTCGGAGGTCATTAAAAGCCACACTTGAAGTATTTGGCAGGGAGACTTTCATTGATGCTGTCTGTATTGGACTTATTCTGTCTTGTCCTCTGTTGCTTGTGACAAACATTTGAAAATAAACATATGTCTTAAGAGGCAAAACATAAATGAAATGCAGAGTCCTGCCAAAAATAAGGAACTTGGTGGGGAGAAAAATCTCAGGGTATGAGAACATCCTATTTAGTTCTACAGATTAGGTGAATGGGACTAGTGAACCTCTTTGGTCAGAATCCAGTCCTTGCTATTGTAGGTAATCATGTCACATCATCCCTTTCATAAAAACTGTCGTGTTGTATCTTGGGAGTAGTGGAGCCAAGCAACCCATGGGAAAGCTGTGCACAACTTTCACTCCTTTGGTTATAAAACTTTGTTTAACTTCAAGATGAAGTTTAATTCATGGCTGTTTTATACCTATTTGCTTTGATGGTAACATTGTCCTTAAGCTGTGTTTTTTATTATGATTTTTTAAAACAGATTTTTCCCTTTCTTAGTATTTGACCTCTCTTTCCTGCCCCTTCCTTGCTCTTTTTCTAGAGAGCAGTTATATTACTGCTAAGGAGTTTTGCTAGGCTTAATTTAAGTTAAGGCATTTTAGTCCCCCCTCCGTGAGAGGCTTTCCAGTCCCCTGATTATCCTAGTAGCCCTTCTTAGCACCTGTTGCAGTTCATTTTGAACATGGATGATTTGAAGTATGCGTAGTATCCTCATAGTGCCTTGTATAATGGCATAAATTGGTGGTTCTCAACTTTTTTAGACTTTAGGCACCCCTCAAAATGCCAGCTCTTGGTTGGGAGTGTGGAGAACACAAAACAGTAGACTCTTCCCTGTGCCTGAAGAAAGGTGTTTGTTCCCAAAAGCTTGCAAAGAACAACTTTTCCAACTATTTAGTTGGTGTAATAAAAGATATCACATTTACTCAAAGAACTTTGTCTGCCAGCTCTTGATATTCACCCATTGTTTGACTTCAGAAAAATAGTGGAGAAATTCTTGTTACAAAGAACTTGAAACACAACAGGGCAGAAAGTGAATTCCTACATGAAATCTCTGGATTTATCTTGTGAATAGTGTTTACCCATCTAACAGTGCTAACATGTACAGGACCCTGGAAAACCCTTGATTTAATATGCTGGATTTATTTTGTAAATGTCTCAAAGAATCTTAAAGCACCTCAAGGTGTCCCAGCACCCTGGTTCAGAATCACTGGCATAAATACTTCTCTGTCTTTCCAGATGCCCCCTTAGGATCACCTGTGCTATTTCACAGATGCATTATGTTGGTGGTTATTAATTAATCACAGGATGATTAAGTTTATGTAGGGCTTTTTGCTACTCTGTCACTTCCAACTGCTGCATTCCCAGTTCATATCAGAAATTCCTTTTATTGCTTCCCAAGTGCATGACCTTGCACTATTGAATTTTGTCCCACTTCTACACTTCTAAGTGATCCAGTTATCCTTGTGTGATATCCTGATTTTTTTTCTGTATTGACAGTGCTTTCCAATGTTGGGTTATCTGTTGACTGTATCAGAATATCTGTATTTGTTTGTACTGATACTATTAATGGAAGTCTTAAGCAGGATTGATCCCAATGCACATCCTTAAGGAACCCAATGTTTTCTTTTAGCCCGTTTCTTACTCACTTCACAGTTGTATCAATCCCCATTTTCTCCAGCTCTGCTGCTAACTTTTCATGCAGCATATTCAATACTTTATTGAAGTCCAGAAGGATGAGATCTACCACATTTCCCTTGTCCTGAAAAAACTTTGATAAGATATTGGATAAGTCTGGCATGATCTACCTTTGGTAAACTTACATTGCATTTTGTTTTCTATCTCTAGATCTTTCTCCTTTTCTTAACTTTTGCACGCTGTTCAGTTCATGTCTGATTAACAAAACATTTGTTTCCAGGATCACTATATTCCCCTTATAAATAACAAAAATTGCTCTTCTCCAATAACATGGTCCCATCCCTGGCTTGATAGAATTATTAAAAATACTTGTTACTCATCCTGTATCTTCCAACAAACTTCCAGCATTTTGAAACAGTTGAATTTTTCCTCAAAGTACAATTTCAATTTCCTGCAAATTTAAAAATATAATAGCTTAGTCAAATAAATGAAGGTTAGATTTGTTCATTTCCTTTCCTGTGCTACCTTTTCAGATTCTCCTTTGCATTTCAACACTTGAAAATATATTTAAGAAAAAACATATTGCTAAATATTATTAGCTTAGGGAAAATAGTTCAGTACAGAATTGTGTAGGTGAATAGTATTAATGCATGGAAATTATTTAAATGCTACAGTAGAGAGAAAGGAAATAACTGAAGTTTTTGCCTCAGATGGTATTATGGTAACAACAGTCACTTCATATGAAATGGCATATTCTTTACTTGCAAACTTACCATGATTTCAAAGGGAGATTTTTTTTCCTGC